GAGAATAATTAGTCACCAATATTTACATGAGTTACAGGAAGCAGAGCAACTGTGCAACGTGTAGGATTCATCTTAGGAACAGTCCTATTTCCATGGATATCCAAAGCTGTCAGACCAATGAACAAATCCAAAAAGGAGATGGTTTCCTCCTCCAGAAGCACCATGCTGTGTTTCAATAGATGCACCTCTCCATTTTAGGATACTCACTGAACCGCTGCCAGATAAAAATACATTGCTGACATCTGAAATGTCTTATTGCACTTAGAAACTGTTGATTAAAGGAGGAAAGATCAAAGAGAGAAAGGTTGCATTTACCCCCCAGTGATTAATACTGGTTTTACCTTCAAGAGGCAACAAAATTGCCAAAACTGAGAAATTAGAGGACAGCCTTATGCTCTGCACACTTCAGATGTCTGAAAGTTCTTTGCTTCTAATCAATTAGGCTGCAGCCTCACATTCTTCATTCACATCTGAGGCTTTCTTTCCGTAAGCCTGGCTATTGGGGTCACTGTCAGTGGGCATTTCCACATCATTATCCAGTCTGAGACCTTGAGATTTTCCTCATAAGGAAGCACAAAGAAACATGAGTTGGGTGGCATACTTTCACTCAAGTTCTTATCCCTAAACAGAAGCACAGTGGGCTCTCCTGTATCCCACTGACTAGGAAACCACGACACAGGTGCTTCCATCTCCTAACCTCTTGTATGCTGCTTCCAAGCAACACAGGAGTTGGGAGTTCACCTCCCCAGTGTCTGTGCACGTGGCCTATTTACTGAGCACCTGCCTGTCTGCCCTCACATCCTGCTTCCATGGGACTTTCCACTCTGAAATTGCTGCTCACACCTCATCTTGCCTCAGCCACTCATTCAAGTAAAAGTATTCTATATAAACTGAAATAAGAAATACAGAAAGGGTTCTGCATTTGCTGCGGGTAAGTTTTGAAAACTGCATTTGTTTCTTATAGAGTTGGTATCCAACCTCACAGTAATCAAAAATCAGCACTGTGGTTAATGCACAGGGCTGGGCATCAGATCATTTACGTTCTGGCCTCGGCTCTGTCTTAGACTTCCACTATGCCATAATCACTTAAATTCCACTCTCAGAGGTGACATTTAATTTGGGATAAGCCAGCTTTGTCTGCTAGACTGTAGTATCTGGAACTCAGTTTTCAGAAGGTGGTTTCACTGACTTCAGCTGGTATGAAAAGAACTCAAAATCTTTGCAGATCAGATTCCCAAAAGCCTGAATGGTTGTTATCCAGGTGCTCTGCAAAGCATCCATACAATGTTACCAATGGCATAATGGTGAACTCCAATTTATGAGTACTTTGCACATGTTACGCATCCTGAAACAACTGCAGGTGTTTTAGGGAAGTGGGGGTAGAATGTAGAGCACACAGGAGCTTACTGTGAGTGAGGTGATCAGTGCTCAAGATACCTTGCCTGCACGTTTCAGTGCATGACTTGAGGCTGTCAGAAATGAAAGTGCTTCAAATAAGGAGCCACAGCTGAAGAGACAGATTTTCTCTACCATAGAGGCCTCTGTGGCCCCTAAATTCCAGTGAAGTCAATGGAAGTATATGTCCTACAGGGACCCGGGCTGTTGTGACCAAGTAGCATCATATCCTGTGATCGAAATCCATTACTATTTACAATGTCTGAATTCCATCATATAACTTTGTCTGTATTTTGGATGGTAGATGCCAAACACACTTGGAATTCTACAAGGAATTGAAACTAAAATTTCAATTTTAGAAGGGAGATTTAGGTTAGACGTTAAGAAGAAATTCTTCTCTGAAGGGATGGTGAGGCCCTGGCACTGCCGCCCAGAGCTGTGGGTGCCCCATCTCTGGAGATGTCAAGGCCAGGTTGGATGGGCCCTGGGCAGCCTGAGCTGGTGGGGGCAGCCCTGCCCACAGCAGAGGAGTTGGAGCTAGATGATCTTCAAGGTTCCCTCTGACTTAAGCCATTCTGCAATCCTATGATTCTAAAACTAAACCCAGCAAAATGTGACTTTTATGTGTTCTCATATTTGTCTGGAAATGAATCAACAAAAATAAATGTTTATACTGTTACCCTGCGATTTTCTCTGTCTGGTGAAGAAATGTTGTGGAAAAATCCCCAACAGCACAATCCTGTGCTTAACATACTTTAATAATACATCTGAACATCTCACTCAGCAATCCCAGTGCAGCCTACACCGGATAGCATAATCGAGGTGAGGAAGTTTGGCAACTGCATTACTGCTTCCAGCTTGCATGACTCAGACTGGGTGGTGCTAACAGGGAGGAGAATCCCGTCCTTTTTCTCAGCAGAAATTCAGGCCTGCTGAGCACTCTTACCTGACACAGTTTGACACATGAGCTGTCTTCTCTGAGCATGAAAATTCCCTGCACGGGCTCCCACTACCACACTGCTTCTGGCAAATGACTGAGTTTGGGTTTGATAACCAAAGATATTAAAGATATTATAGATTTAGCAAAGGTCGGAATCCCTGAATGCTGGTGATACAGCCATGCAATGCTGGGGGGGTGTGTTGGATGTGTTGGCTTATCTGCCCCTAAAACATTCACTATTTGGGTGCATACTCTAAGTTCCTGTTTCCCCTGTTTCATGTATATCTAGCAAATTATACTTGGTGTTTAGTCTATTCTAAGGTGTGCTTTCTTTGAATCTCTGTTTTCTTTTGATTTTGACAAATGATGTAATTTAGAGACAAAGGTAAAATGCTTCAGCAGGAAAGAAAACAGATTAACTAAGAGAAAAGAATTAATACCAGCACTTCTGTAGGATGTCCTTCTCTCGATCTGGCAAACAAAACTGGAAGCAGCCTCAACAACGTAGGGTCTGGCCCCAGTTTTGCCAGCCTGCACAGAGCTGGCACAGGCAACTCCTACTCACCCACCCTGCAAAGGCTGAGAAAGAAGCGAAAGTGGGACTGGAATTGCATCATTTCCTGTGCTTTTATACTCTCCAAGCTGCCACTTTGTTTTGTTAAGGACTTTTCTCAGGCTGATTAGACAAAGAAGAGATGTCTTCTGTTCCTCCTGGATCCTCCTTTGCCTGCCATACCAAGCAGAGCTCTGTGTGTATCAGTAGCTCATTTTCCCTTTCTGTTCTGAGTGCTTCCTGCTTCTGTTCATAGTTTCTCTATGCCTGCACAATAGGATGAAGGCAGGTCTCCTGACTGGCACATTCCTAAAAATCTGTTCAACTCAGTACAAGACAGATGCAGTAAAAGCTTCAGGACTCCACTTAGTCATCATACTTTGCTTATCTTCTATCACAAAGCCTCGCCCTCTCGCTAAAGCCACAGCAAGTCACTGCTCCATCTCCTCCTAGGAAACAGTGGGTAGTTCTCTCTGTGGCTTCACAAGCAACAGATAGTGGGCTCTAGCTTTCTGGCAGAGAAATTTTCCATTTACACAATGTTATGTGAAGGTTACTTTGCAATTTACAGCAAGAAAACAAAACTGTGAAGTATATGTACAAATCTACTGTGACAATAGAAAAAAATACATGTTATTTTCTTCTTGTTGTTTATTTCTTTACAACCTAGAAAGCAAGTTGCACTAACTAGAATATACATCATTAGAGCTATGTACAAAAGAAATACCAGTGTATTTTGTATTATTTTGTGTATTTTGCATATAGTTAAATTAAATCTCTCCTGCGTATTTTATGCTATTAGAATGGCTCAAGCACGACACAAATACTGACACTGCAGAGTTTCTGGCAATGTTGTGCTGTTCCTTGATGCCATTCATGCAGACAGCAGATCTTCTCCTCCAATTGTGTACCAATGGATGCTCTCCATTACCCTGCTTGCAGCAAAAGACACTGACAAGTACAGAACATGACAAAACGTCTCTCCCTACTGCTAACAAGGCTGCTCTGGTGCTCTGCAGTTTCCTTCTTTACAGCCACTGCATTTTCTATTTTCTTTTGAACACAAAGTAGCATCTCAGTCCAACTAAATTAGTAAAGAAAGTTTTAAAATAGACTTTTGTGCAAGCCACATTACATTCCCCCTCCTGCACTGCATGTGACCTTTAATAAAACACCAAAAGCTTTTAAGTCTATTCAAAAACACAGCAACAGTTGGTAGCAAGAACAGTGATGCCTACACTGTGCAGTACGCTGTGCAGCACAAGTTCCTCCTTAACAGGCCTATTTCTGGTGCAGAACTTGTGCCCCTTTAATGTGTCACCTTATATGCTATGCTAGATGCAGCAAATTAACCATTTGTTTTGCAGGGATTGGCAGACTTCAGTATCACTGTTTCCTGGGTGACTTTAATTACGCTATGATTTCTGACTGCAGCTATCAGATTAATCCCTTGGGCTTCCTTAACTTAAATCCCTGGTAGAAAAAGGCTTATGTAATAAAAGCTGCAGGGATGTATATTAATGTAATACAATTAAACTAATAAACATTTTTTTTTTAATTCTACTGAATGTTTAATCTCAGAAAAATTAGCAAATGCATCATTTCTTTGTTGGTTTTTTTTTTCCTTCAGGTCTGCTACATAAAGGCTAGTTTATCTCAGAGCAGAGAACGCCTCGCTACGTAAGGAAACATAGTGGAAGCATTCTGTCTGACTGATCAACAGAGGATTAGAACTCAAACTGAAACACTTCTCATTCACAGAGCTCAAGTGCTTTATTCATGAGCACAAGCATCATATGGCATGGTACATATCCAGCTCATTAAACTCAGATTTGGGAAGGTTAAGCCATGTGTCCAGAATTACATAGCAAGTCTAACAGTAGAATAGGAGGCAGAGGCTACTTCCTCAGTCTGAGCCCTTTACAATGGATTCAACAAGACGAGTGACTGCAGATAAACAGATCAACTAATTTTTCTGGGTGAAGAACTGCCTTTTAAGGCAACTGTTATATGTATCTGTTACATGTATCAAGCCACAACGTAAACCCTTAGCTTGTACAAATATGAAAATGTCACACACTGAAAAATTGAAAATATTAATGCAAAACTTACCTGTATCACAGTGCAATTCATATCCAGGTACAGCTGCTGATGCTCCAGAATGACCAGGAAGTCTCAGAATCACAGAATGGCCTGGATTGAAAAGGACCACAATGATCATCCAGTTCCAACCCCCTGCTATGTGCAGGGTGACCAACCAGCAGACCAGGCTGCCCAGAGCCACATCCAGCCTGGCCTCGAATGCCTCCACAGATGGGGCATCCACAGCCTCCTTGGGCAGCCTGTTCACAATGGGGAAGGAATAGACAGAACAACTTGTCTGCATAACCAAAGATAATAAAAATAGAAATTTTTCAATGTCTCTTTCAAATTTTTCCATGGTATTTGCAATGTTTCTTATAATTTTGAAATACAGATGCTATCTAAAGTCTTATCAGGTCATTAAAATAAAGGCGAAACATTTCATCTTCCTGACAGCATTAGGCTTTGTTCTTAAAGAGTAGTCATTCATTTAGTGATTTCAAATTCTGATTATTATTATTATTGTTGCTTAGAGAAAGTGACCTTTTCTCACTGTGTTGGCCTCGTCACTGAAACAACAAGCAGGGGAATGAAAAAAAAAAAGACTGGATTTTGCAAACGTTTTGCATAGCGAAAGTACTACAGAAGGTCCACAAAATGCTCCTGCGAACACAATGCATTTTGAAACACTAACAAAGAATGCAAAATACAAAGCAATTTAACAAAATATGGCTTTCAGCCCATATTATTAGCTTTTAGAACACGATTTACTAAAAACCCTTCCCAGCTTCTGCTTTCTTCCCCGCTCCATCTCTTCTCTCCATTCTCCTGTACACCATTTTCTGCATGCTGACAGAACAAGCGAGGTGTTACAGAGGTACAGAGGCCGCTAGCATACAAATTCTGAGTGATGCTTATTTGTCAGAAGGAAGCATATTCCCAATTCTTAAGCATCTGCAAAATCCGTTTTTGTAGCTCTTTCCTCTCTGGGAGGCATCAGTTCAAAAGGTAATCTGGGTAAGAAATTGCTTTCTCTTGAAAGTATGCGCTATACCTATAAAAATGAAGATATCTATGTCTACATGTGGAATTTATGTGGAAAATTGATTTTTTTTTAAACCAATTTACCTCTCTCTGCAACGCTGACTGCTCCTACACTGTGCTGCTTAACTCACGCACGTTCGGAAGCTGGATGCCTCGCCACTTTTTCGTTCTCGACAGCCGAATTTGAAACGCTTTCAGCAGTTAACCCCTGCGGCACGCCGCCTGCCATTTCCCATGTGGGGGATGGTGGGACCATGGCAACGGCGGTGGGCGGGGTTTATAGGCGCCCGCCCGCTCCGATTGGCTGGCGGCGGGGCGCTGACGGCTTCCGGAGTGCGCGCGCGGCAGGGCGGGCGGCAGGGCGGGCGCGCGGCCCGGCGGCGGCGTCGTGCGGTGACGGTGCGGCGGTCGGGCAGACGGACGGGCGGAGGGAGGTGGAAGGATGGACACGCTGGGCAGGAAGGTGGTGGTGTGCGACAACGGCACCGGGGTGAGTCCCGCGAGGCGGCGGCGGCGGGAGGGAGAAGGGCGATTCCCCCGGGCCGGCTTCCTGCCGGCACGCCCGGTCTGCCCGCCGCGCCCTACGCGGCCCAGCGGCGGGGCCTGCGCCGCGGTGAGGCGGCGGGGAATGAATGGGCCGCGGGCGGAGCGGGGGCGGCGCCGCCATCGCCGGGCGCTCCCAGCTCGGGGCTCGCTGCCGCCTCGCCGCCCGTGAGCGCACACGGCGGGAGTTGGTCGTCCGCTCGTAGCGTGGAGGCAGGAAGTGGCAGAGATCGCATCGCGGACCGTCGGGAGGGGTGGCGGTGTGTACCGTGTGCCCCCCCCTCCCCCCAAAATAATGATAGATGTATGTGTGTATTTATTTATTTTTTTAAGCGTTTAGAAGATAGAAAAAAAGGAAATGTTTAAAGCCAAGGATGGGATAGCTGAGACAAAGGATGGCGTTGTTAGGGATTCGGCCTCCTGAAATGCAGAGCGTGCTGTCAGCACTGCAAGTGATGAGAGCGGGGATCTGACAGCGCTGTTCTGACAGTCCTGGTGCCTTCTCCTGGAGGAAAGAAGGCTGCGGGGTGACCTCATTGCAGCCTTCAGTACCTAAAGGGAGCCTACAAACAGGACGGGAATCAACTCTTTGAAAGGGTAGATAACAGCAGGACAAGGGGAAATGGTTTGAAGTTGTGGGAGGGGAGATTGAGGTTGGATGTCAGGGGGAAATTCATTACAGAGAGAGTGGTGAGGTGCTGGAACAGCTGCCCAGAGAGGCTGTGGATGCCCCATCCCCGGAGGTGTTCAAGGCCAGATTGGATGGGGCCCTGGGCAGCCTGGGCTGGTATTAAATGGGGAGATTGGTGGCCCTGCATGTGGCAGGGGGGGTGGAGATTCGTGATCCTTGAGGTCCCTTCCAATCCTGGCCATTCTGTGATTCTCCTGTTTTCCCCTTTTTAAAGAAAACGAGTAGGGCTGAGGGTCAGCTGGCACTTCCCACAGTACTGTTTAGAAAAAGAGACCATTTCCCCATTTCCTTCCTTTTTTTTTTTTCTTTTTTTTTTCCTCTTTTAGTGCTTAATGCTCTACTTGTCAGGCTTGGCACATATCTCAGGAACCCTCTCCATCCTTCAGTGCTGCCCTTCTGGTGGCAGCGCAGCACTGAGCTGTACGGTGCTTGGCTGGAGTTGGTGACACCAGCACTGCACTGCTGGGTATAAATAACAGGGTGAGGTGCCTTTATGCTGCTGTTAGGGGCCTGGAGGAGGGGCCAGCATCACTTCAGCTTCTGTTGGTTTAGGTTGCATTTATCTCCGAGCAGAACAGTGCGTGTCTGCAGGATCAGCTCTGTGCAAGAACAGGTATCAGGACACGACTGTTAAATCAGTCAGCTTGAAATATTTAGGTTAATTTAGGATAATTAAACTGGAAGAAAGTTTTGTTCTTGACATCAGAAAATGCTTGAAACCTCAGCTCAGAATTGAATATGTCAAATTAGCCCTACTTTGTCAAAAAGGTATTTTTCACAGTAACTATTTTCATGTGTGACAGAGAGGGCCTGCTTTATGTCAAAAGGATTTCTGACATTTATGACATCACGTGTCATAATTAATGTGTGAAATTAAGTCTCTAGTCAGGTGCCAGAAATATTGTGTAAAAATGGAGACTAGAAAGCTCAGATGCAGCTTTAACTTTAAACTTGAATTTACTGCTCTTGTTGTGCTGAAATACAACCTTAATGTGGCTTACTGCTTTGAGGAAGAGGTGACTAGGAGGAAGTTCTTGCAACATGTAGTGCAGAATAGAGGCAGGCAATGGCATCTTGACAGCGAGAGTGATAGAGGTGGATGTTCTGTTATAGGACAAGCAGAAAGTAACTGAGTGGCCTGTAGTATTTCTCTAATAGTATTTAGGGTTTTTGTTTGAGAATTGCATCAACTGAAGGAATCAAACACAGCCCCCGATAAGAGTATGTGTGTTCATTTTGAAGCCTGTCACGTGATGTCTGTGAGCTTCCTCATTCTTTGGTTTGAAAGAACACTTATACGTTCAAGTTCTTGCTGCTTGATGACTCAGTAGGAAGTGAAAGAGTCCGTGCAAACCACAGTGCAATGGAGAAGAAACTATATATGGTAAAATGGTCATGCGGACAGGCAAAGCAAGTTGCTGCTCTTAAAGCATTTTGAATGTATAGCAGACACTTGCAAAAATGACCGATGGTGAACTTTGCCTTCCTTGCCAAGATGTGTATAAATACATTGAGTGTTGATTTTAATGTTTGAGCCATGGTGTACACAGTGCTGTACTGAAATCATTTGCTAATTGTTCCAAGGGCTGCACAGAGAAGGGATGGCAGAGCAATAAGCACGCTCTGTACTGTACTTCAGTTTTAATAGAGGGCTTCACATGAGGGTGGAAAGAACACCACGACTATTTAATATTTGGCTTCAGATGATTATATTCCAAACTAGTTTCTAACCTTCAATCAAATGTTTTGAAAGATCTTTTGTAAGAAGGGGATGAGCATCATACGTTTCTTCTTCAGAAAATCCAAGACAGTTCAGGATTTGTTACGTGCATACGTGTTTGTTGCTAAGGTGCATTTATCTGTTGTCAGCTATCTCTTGGTAGTTTGATCAAGTGTCCTTCTTCAGCCTTAGTACCTGACATGACATCGTCTCCACCCTACCCACCAGCTAGTGCTCACTGTGGTGGTGGGGAGGATGCTACCCTGAGAACACTCAGCATCTCCCACCAGGGAATGCTGGCTACAGAGCTGCTTTCAGTACTCACTAGTGATTAGGGAGGGAAGATTGAGGTTGGATGTCAAGGGGAAGTTCTTTACAGAGAGAGTGGTGAGGTGCTGGAACAGCTGCCCAGAGAGGCTGTGGATGCCCCATCCCTGGAGGTGTTCAAGGCCAGGTTGGATGGGGCCCTGGGCAGCCTGGTCTAGCATTAAATGGGGAGGTTGGTGGCCCTGGATGTGGCAGGGGGGTTGGAGATTCATGATCCTTGAGATCCCTTCCAACCCTGGCCATTCTGTGATTCTGTAATGATTCATGTGGCCTGGGGAAACAAGATGGATTTGAAGGGGAGAAAGAGTCAGAATGAAAATCTGCCCCTTCTGTTTGGTTAACCATGTAGAGCTGACCAAAGTTTGTAAAAATGTCACTCGTACAGATTCTTGGTTCTGACCTGAAAGGGAGAGCTGGAGTTAGGCTGTGCAAAATAAAATGAGTGAGATTGAGGGAGGAGGCAGTGAATGGCTAAGCTATCAGGTTTGTGAATTGCCAGTATCCTACTGTTGTGCAATGTCCCAGCAAGGTGTGTCAAGGCCTTAGGGCTTAACATAGGGACAGACTGAAAGTTACAATTACAAATGAGAGGGTAAAACTTATAGTATAGAATAGTATCTTTGTAGCTCAATGTTTTCTTGTATGCCAGAATGTTGTAGCAGTAAACTTGTGCAGTGCTCTGCAAGCAGTCATTTGTTAAAAGGCAACTTTTTTTTTTTAAGAATCTATAAACCTTTATTTACACTCTGCCAGACCTTCAGAATGTCTCGAATGTTTCCTGTGGTGTAAAACATTTGGAAAGCCTTGTGGCATGTCCAGGTAGCGTGATCCAAAAATGTGGCTCTTTGCTTTTCATAGCAGCAGTGCATTCTTGAATACACAGATAAGATCTGTGCAACTCCCTTGTACTCTTTGTCCTAATGTCAGTAAGTAGCTGCCTTTACAGAGAACATAGATTGCAACAGAATGAGTGAAATGAATGTTATATGTAATGTAATTCTGCTGGTATTCAGAACAGCTCTGCCGCTGTAGAGAGCAAATTCTGAGTCAGGGAAAGAAATGAGGGGCACAAAAAGCTAAGAATTCCCTCTCCACTCCTATTAGCCCAAATTTAACTGGAATGTTTCTTGCACCTTTCCATAATTAGCTTGAAGCATTCCTCACAGATGAATAATGTAGAGCAACAGAAAGCAACTTTTCATGTTAGAGTTGCACATCATCACAGACAGGGTTTTTTTTTTTGTGCTCAGTTAATGCTTTCTTAGCACATATGCTGTATCTTTGGAGCTAGCACTGTAAAACTTCCCTTTGTATGTATTTGAGGAACAAACACTTTCAGAACGTCCTGTTTGATGTGAGCCACCACTAGCTGGGACTTCACTTGTGTCCTGTGCGTTTTGCTGCATGCTCATTGCTTTTTTCCTTAAAATCTGCCCTAAAAATGGTAAACTCTTGAGAAATCTGTTTTGAACAGTACAGAGCATCACAGAGAATCCCTTTTCCATAGCACTGTAACACCCGAATTCACAAAGGTTTTGTGTTTGCTGACATATCATTTGCTTTGCTGATCCTTGCGTTAATTGGGAAGGCAAATTAATTGGGGTACTTATGAGGTGATCCGTTACAAAATGGTAAGTTTGTTTGCTGGGGAACTTCTCACAGGGCGGCAGGGAATTCAGGTTTGAACACTGCACTCTTTTATACCTCTCAGTGCACTTAGTCATTTTCGTACTGCTTCTTCACAATCTGACAGTCTGCTGTGGAAAACATTCTGGAAGGTACTTGAATTCAGTGTTGTATATCCACCTATCTGAAATGTGTAAAAGGAATGTGAAAGCATAAATCTTGTAGGACTCGTGCTCTTAAACCTGGCGTTTTACTCCCAAACAGATGATTATTAGTAAAAGAAAGTAATAAGTGCTCTAATAAAATCATTTCTTCTTTTCAGTTTGTGAAATGTGGCTATGCAGGCTCCAA